TGTTGCAGCTCAACACCTAGTAAAACCCTCGAGTCACTATGGGGCAGCAAACCGTCGGAGCGATTAAAACTGGGCGATTCATCAAAAGGAGAGCCGTAGAGAAATAGAGAAGAAACGCAGTAACACTATGTTCATTTACTATGTGGAGTCTTCCATATTAAGAAACTATTAGATGAAAGAAGAGGAAAAAGTCGGAATCTGCTGAACAGTCCAGATAGCTGACATCATTTCTGCACACATTGGACATGATATTTTCAGACAAAACGGGTTTTCCCAGCAACTGCCGATGGTTTGTCAATAACTGAAACAGTTAAGAGTTCGACAATTTCGTAAATTTAAATGAAAACTTCGTTTCATGCTGAGTATGGTATGTAAACGTAGGTTTTATAACGTGTCATTCTTATCACAAGACTTTCGGTTAAAATTTTGACAGAACGAATAAATTAGGAAGGCAGACATGATGATGTACTCGTGGGCATAACCTTATCAAATTGGCAGAAATCCCGCCTGTTGAATCGCTTCGGTACTCGAGATAAGAGCGTCGATAGAAGAAAGAAGACTCAGGCTCTAAATAACGTCGACAATGAGAAGATTGAAGAAGGTTGTGGGCTCGACTACACTCGACTTCTTGAGAAATGTTAGTTTATTTGACTTACTGTCTGCTATTCTTACTAATAACCCTTACTGTGAGCTGAGAGTTGCTTCGTTAAAAGCTGAGGGGTCAATTGCCCTCATTCACATCATAGGTGGAACGATTGCAGAGAATTCAGCGGTAATCCTAGTGCCATTGTTTCAAGAGAACCATAAAGATACATATATAGATTACTCGGGTTCACATATATTCCAGTTCCAAGCACTTCTTTCTTTCGTTTTTTCACTTGCAATCGACATTTATGAAGATGGTCACTTTCATGTGTTGGTTAGACTACTGCTTAACTATTTTTTGTCTTCCACCCTTGTTGACGTAGTGAATGCTGGGCAACCGTGGTTTCCTGATCTCTCTGGGATAGAGAGAAAGCCGTATTTAAACTTTCCTAGGTCTTCACCACAAGCCGTCATCGGCCTTTGTGATCGCGGGAAGATTTTCTGCGTTTTTATAAACTGAGCTCGTTGAACTGATGCGAGATTATAGCTGTCTTTGTTGTTGCTGTTATTGCCGTTCTTTCCTCAAAGTCGTGCTGTTACGAGTGCGACTCCCTTGTTTTCTGTTTCTTTTTTCTGTGTTTCTACTTGAACTCTTCTAAAACTAAAACGATTCTCGTGATAGCAGCGAATTCTGTAATTAATCAACTGGTCCCTCGAGGACGATTTTTTAAGGCGAATCTTTGTAATGCAGATGAAACTGTGACTCTGCATTATTGCCCCAATTTCCAGTAATATCTCTAATCGATGGAGCTGATTTTCGCATGTCTTTAGATGAAATCTTCTTATTTGGAGCACGTTTAGTTGAGGCAGTATTTTCTTCTACTTTATATAGAACCTCCTCCCAGAGGTTTACCGCCTCATCGTGGCTGGGCGGTGTTCCTCGGTGTTAGGCTGTGGTGTACAGCGTGGGGATTCATCTGACCGGCGAGTTCATTCAAGCTGAGAAAGAGTCCGGACATTTCAATTAGGAAGCCCAGTTAAGAGTAAACAAATACCAGGATTCAACAACGTGTTGGTATCAAACTAGTCGGCCTGCGATGGTGACAACCTGGAGCAGAATTTGGCTGGGCTGACCTCGGAACTCCAGTGTACCGCAATCGCTAAACCAGCAAAGCTACGAAAAAATTGGAAATTATGCTGGGGCCCGCACAACCAGTCAAGATGGTTCATCCAGGTATCCAAGCATGATATAGAACTTATTCAAAACGTTATCGGGTGGCCAAAATTTTTTCGCACAGTAACTACACAGATTACAGGCCTTGTCACTAGCACAGTTACCTGTAATTAAACAGTTTCTTAGACGAGAAATCAATCTGATAATGTTTATCCTTTTCTTGAGTCGCAACAGTAAACTAAGTGCAAAGATTTAGAGATCTGCTTTTCGTGCAATCACCCAATATCTCGGTGAAACCTGTTTAGCGACACAGCTGTAAGTCGTAGGAGATCTTTTTACTTCACTCCTTATCTTCCTCTTATGCTACCTTTTTCACTACCTGCATATTTTTATTCGAGCATCTTTTTTGTTTGTAGTCGGACCCACAATGTGAAGAGCAGTGGTTAGAGGTGTCGTGGTAGTTTTCTCGATCCCGTGTCCTGAGAGCTTTCTATCGCATAATTTTCAGGCGTTAACAACACGTTGGTCTTCCAGATGACAGAGGATACTTTTTCAATAATTAGAGCACTTGAAGGGTTGGGAACATGAGACAGCTATAGGAGAAGCTGCTATGCGCATGAATGGTTACCATTTACTACATGTTGCTATGGTTTCCGATGCCTGCCCATTTCATATGGCAACTATAATTCATTACAATTATTACAATTGAAAGAATCAACTCTCAGTGAAATAACCGGTTAATGAACCCGCTTGAGAGAAGGAAGGACCTTCACAGGTCCTCACAACTCTAGTGACTACGTCCTTGCCGGGATGGCGCTCTCACACCAAAGTATTACGTTGGAACCAGTTTACCTCTAATTGACTTTACAGATGAAAATGTCGAACTCCGAGACTTCGTTGAAGAGATGAGCCCGCGCTATACAAAACAAGTGGTTGGATCAATTGTGCATACAACAATAAGATTTGTCACAATCTATTATCGTAACTGTTTACCAAAGAGGTCACGGGCGAAGTAAGAGAAGCAATAAAACTCATATTTAGTTTTTTTTTTTCCTCACTAGAAGTTGTTAAGTAGTTCTGTGCATACAGCTTCTCTTGCAAACTATACTCCATCAATGAAGAATCAGCATTGCATTTAGCACTTATCAGAACTTGGTTTCGGTTCTCTTATGCCTAGTAAACTATAAAATGCATTGGTGCTTTCACTCCAGAACAACCTTAATTGCTGAGAAATGTATTCTAGTCACTCGACCATGACAATACTAACGGGTAACGACCTATCGAAAGCTATAAAACAACTAATACCGGTGGCAATTGTCCGCGTTCAATACGCCATGGCAAAATCGCTTTCAGTCGCCTCATCAAGGCTTTCCAAGGACACCGAAAGCCATCTATTCCATTATGCAAGCAACGATTATGGCTTGCAGCCCATTCGTTTCTTTGGTTATAAATATAGCAGAGTTTCGTGAGTAGCTAATCCCACATGGGTACATAAGACATGACAGGGATAGTAACGATAACGGATAATAATGTCGGGTAAGGGCATAATTATATGAACTTTTCCAAATTGAGTACAAAAGCTGAGACAAAGGGCACAAATAGACAACGGGGCTAAGCAAATGAATGCGCAAGAAAGTGTTATGGAATAAGGCATTACATTAGAAAAACCTTATGAGAACTCTGAATCACCCTCTTCTGCACCGCACAGTAACCGGACCCGCCCTGAGTAGATTTAAACATCGAGAGACTTCACTGCTATTTTTCATAAAATAGACCGGCTCAACTTTTCAATTGTCAGCTGTTAGAACGCAAGGCACTATACCAATGAGAAACCAGCAACACTTAATTTTTTCATAGAATCATCGACTTACACGACACACTTAATCTGCCTGCTCTGTCATTTACAAGCTCCCCACTGGAGTCGTCTTCAGCAGTTGACAGAACACAGGAAGGACGGTCATACGAACAGACACCATTTAGAGAAAGATTTAGCACACTGGATTAGATCCATATGATAGCGAAACTCATCGAAATGTCACCTGAACGCAGGAGTTCGATTCTCTATTGACAAATCTGAGTTCCAAACGGCTATGGAAAATCTTCGAAACTTCGTTCTTCCTGAATACAGCGAAGCTCTTCGTTACATAATCAGGAACTTCAATGTCAGGACTTCATCAATGGACTAAAAGGAGGGATGACACGAGGCGATACTAGCCAAATTATCCAAGAACCAAGACGGAATAGGTTTGCTAGTGGTGTCAGTCTTACACAATATCCATAAATAAAACAGGCAAGACGAATACTAGTCCGTCCTAACAGCCCGCTTCGCGACTGGTTCTCCTCCTAAGCCTACAAAGCACACAATTTTTACAAAGCAGATTCATTTCTGAAGGATCTTTCATTACGTGTGTTTCGATCGTGGATTAAGCGTGGTGAACGGCTTAGCTCCAGAGCTGGGCAGGAGAAAACAGGCACCTTGGAATGCTTTAGCAATTCATTAGGATGTATTGGAGAAAAACGAAGAACACCTGGACCCACACTCTTGTCTTCAACTCTGCGACCGTTGCAGTCTTAACATTACTCTTATAAATTTAGACGACACCTAGAAAGATGAATGGCCTGGAACTGTTAATACCAATATCGAACACCTGTTAAAGCAATACTCGACGTCATGCAATTGAGGGAATAAGCGGAAGTTCCGACTATGTAGGTGACCAAAGAGGTGGTCTAGATGCTACGACATAAACTAAGATATCGAAAACAATGTGGTTGGAATACCTATGCATCCGTGGGATAATAGGTTGGCACGTGATTGGATCGTACGAAAGCCCAGTAGGAAGACTACCGACTAGCGAATACCATCGTTTGTGTTTGGAATTAGTCAATCAATTCTCTAGTATACGTACCAAATAAGAGAAACTAGGAAACAGTGTATTTGTAGCAAACAGATATACAAATACAGTATATATGTAAAACACGTCCCTTTACAAAAAATAACAAGCAAATTGGAATCGATCTCATAATTTATGGGAATAAATATAGAAGGAGATCATTGAAGTACATCAATCCTGAGACCCTTCCGCCCGTTTTGCAGCGTTACGCAGTTTCATCAGGAAATCGCTGCTTGGAATGACATCAAGGGCACATTTTTCTTCCTACAAATTCCAATGTATATTTTAAATTAAAACGAAATAAGAGATAACAGTGCAAGAATAAAATGGAAAAAAAATATGTATGTAGACTATAACATAAGTAGAAGTTGCACTGTACACTTCTTCCAACCGTTCACCTTGTTTTCCAATAACGGATCCGCTCCTTTCGCTACCAAAGCTATAGCCGCATCGTCACGACCTTCCTCACAAGCAACGAATCTATTACATGTTCAACATTTTATCAGATTTCTGAATTTCTTTGCAAGCAATTACTCACAATGGCGTTTTTCCCTCAGAATCCTTAGCATCAATTCTTATTCCCGGTTGAGTAAGCAGAAGTTGCACAATCTGTAGATGTTTAAACACTCAACAGCCTCAGAAGTTTCTCTAAGTTTCTTTCTCTAAGAGTTTTGAAAAAGTGCCCATGAAGAAAACTACGCACCCTGTCATGACCCTGGCTAGCTGCTCGATGAAGAGGCGTCGCACCGTACTTATCCGATGCATTCACGTCACCACCAGCCTCGAGCAGCATATGTGCTATCTACGAATAAATGAACAAACACAGAGATAGAAAGTACCTTTTAAGGGAAAACAGAATCAAACACTAAATCTCACCAGAGCGTGGTTCTTGCTACATGCATAGTGCAAAGGTGTTAGCAAATTCAGATTTCTGTGGTTGACATCAACCTAAGGAAACACGTAAAATGTTCCACAAAAATTCTTATTTCCATATGAATTGTTATTCTCTGGACAACAATAACACTACTCAATCATCAGAGCAAGACTACAATGACGTCAGATAACTACAGCGTCAAGAAAAAAAGGAAAAATGCTAATATATCGTCTTTAACCAAGATGTTCTGAACCATATTCCCATCCTCAAAATGTTTAGTTTAATCAATTTATTAGCAAACATCACTTTAGTCCTAAATTCCTTTCTCCCTATTGCGTTTTCAAACTGATCGTACGCGCCCTACAGATTAGTGTCAGCATGAAATCCATAGTTTCATTCGCTGTTTTTACGCTAACACTCTTAAGCGTTCCAAGTTAAAAACTCATAAAATGTTTTAAAATCTACCATAACAAGTAACTTACATCTGGAAGCGAAAGCAAATGGCGTACAATTTCAAGTCGACCCGCAGATGCCGCAATCATCAAAGGTGTCCAGCCCATCTGTAATCAATTCACTTTCTCAATAAGCTCAGGCGAAATTGTTACTATGTTATTTGTTCACAATATCATGCGTTTTAACTAATTTCGCCTTCTACAGAGCATGGAAAGGTCAAGTTATAATTGCAACGTGACCAGTTAAATACCTTCATAACCTCGACAAATACCTTCATACCGAGATACCTAGATTTCAATCGCAATGGAAATAAAACAGCTTCGCACAGCAATCTAAAACTTCAACGCGTAAAACCTTTGGACGTGTGATCTCATATAATATCTTAGAATAATACTTTTAACTTGAGAGGTGCACATCAGCCTTCCATGTGAACTCTGTACAGTTGGTCTCGACGTGGAATTTTCAGTGCGAGACTCATGAAAGTGGTTAATGTGCGAAGAAGCTGTTTTGCTTTCAGTGGGAATGAAATCTAGGTAATATGGTGGTTTTTCTGTTGAGGTTATGGAGGTATATGGTTGACCAAGTTGTAATTAATTTGACCTTTCCACGCTCTAAAGATGGAGAAATCCGCCGAAACGTTAGCCGTTGTGAACAAATAGTAGATAAGAACAACGTCGTGTGTGCTTACCAAGAAAATAATGAATGAATCAATGCAGAGGTTTATGGAAAGTTGGTTTTGGTAATTACTGTAAATCGTATTTTGTCGTGGAAAATCTACAATCTGCTTACTATCTATCACCTCACCGCACAGCATACTCAACTTGGAAAGTGTTTAAACCGATTCCGAACACACTGAGTGATTCAAAACATGACTGAACATATTTTAACATCCCGAATTTAACTGCTTCCTCAAGGTTTCCTGCGTGAGTTCACATGTGAATGCCATAACGAAGTTTTCCAGACTCCAAATGTTTTCTAATAAATCAACGCACATTCACGGGTACATTAGTGGATCTCGTTGCATCTCCTTCCGGCCGTTTATTTCATCGCAGATTATCTTGCTATGCTTTTTGTATCAAATCGATACCTTCTTCACCACAGATCTTAATCTAGGAGTCGTCCAAAATTGTAGTCTGAAGATGAGAAAGTTGATTCCAGACCACTGAACTCGTTGGCATAATATGATCAACTAGCTCATTGAGGTAACCAGTGTAGTTTGATAATGAATAACCTTCACGAGATTGACACGCCCTGCGTCGTTGAAAAAGCTGTAACATCCTTGTACAACGACCGTACGAGGTCACGAATTAAAATCCCATCTTCTGTATGATAGACTTCATTCAGTTTTTTCGAGATGCATCTCAAGATGGTCTCCATAAAAAGCTTATAAAACACGCTCAACAACCCAGTCGGAGGTCGATTCTTCCGTTTAAAAGAACACCGTTCAAAGTCCCCACGTTTGTTAACGGCTGGGTATTCGTTTAATTTACGGGCATGACGTCATGTACAATGGAAGCAGATTGTGTTAATGGTGGTTTCCATCATATATGAAAGCAGCCCAAATACTGTCCTATAAAGATGTGCTACGCTTCAGGCTTCCAATTGCAATACTCGTAATTCTGCGCAAAGCATTCTTGCTTCTAGTGAAGAAAGCACGGTCTGGTAATGGTATTCTGAATTAGAAGAGATTTCTATAGAATCTCAGCTATCAATTCCATCTACAGACGATTGTACTTTGAACGTCCTCATCAAGCAAAGCAAAAGCAGAACGTTGCATACGTGAAGATTCCTAAATTTCTTCGGGTTTTTTTTTTGCGTTCCTTCTTCTCTTGCCGTTGAAGGAAATCGACCTGCAGTGCCTTCCTGCAAGTGGCACTAATTCTGTGCTCAGTAATACCTAAATAGTTGCACGTATCCCCTTTTTCTAGAACTTCCACTCGATAAACGCTAGGAGCCTGTTTTCAGCCAAAAGCTAGCTTAATACAGATCTGGAAATATTCCAGAAGCTTTGCATCGCACCCTCTTTTTTGCGAAGCAACAATTGAGTAAGACATCACTAAGTACAATTCCTAGCATATGGTTTGTCTATGCACTTGATTTATACGGATTCCTTCATCCTTTTCGCAATACACACGATTCCTTATTTTTTTTTTACAGCTGATACATTTGTGATTACAAGGGTCATATATGACTTATACAATACTGAAATATTTGCAAAATTCCGGAGCGCAGGTGTTTTGGTGAACGCGTTACTCCCCGGAAAGGGTAATTGCGCGTTCGTTCCCCACCGCAAACACCTGCGGTTCGGAGCTTTGCAAATATCTCAGCATTACATAAGTTATATTTCGCAACACACTCTATCATTAAAAAGAATAGGCAGTAAATAAAACGGTTAAGATAGTCATATATGACTTATCTTCTCCTACTGTCTTCTATACTTTATAGCTTACAAAAATGTTTCTCCGATGGTTTGTTTTCCAGCGGTAAAACCGTTAACGACAAAAATATTAAGTATTAGAATATCTCCGATATACTTTGCACAATGAATTCCCATTACCAGTTCAGTGCAATTCACACACTGCATCCTTAAGGAACAATAACAGTCTTCCGTTCTTCTTGCGTGCACCGACCAAACGATCCTTCCTATGGAACAAGCTTCCAACTATCAAACTACTCTTATACTATCAATTCACTATATAAAAGGAGCTGTCCCTCAATAGTTTCCTGAAACCGACCTCACCATCACTTCAGATCCAACAGACTCAGATTCTGAGCACTTAAGTAGACGCATTTCACCCACTTCACATTGACTATCATCCAAATTCCCTGGATCATGAGACACTGTACTGTTTAAACACTGAGTTCATTGCCATCATCATTATCGTCGTCATCATCGTCTTCGTCTTAATCCACTCGGATCCATTTCCGTAAATTTAAATGGGAAGCACAGCCACATGGTATCTGATTTCTGACAAGCAAATAATTATTTTTTTCCTTTTCAAGCACGCAAATGAACCATGGTTATTTCACTCAATGAGCAGCCACGAAAAGCAAAATTAAATACCAAGAAATAGCTAAACACGCTCAATTTATTTTATTTTTCTTTTATACGACCCGCCATCAAATCTACTGTGCGGATCTCAACACTTCCTCCGTTCGATTCGTTTCCCTCGCATTCATCGTCCACAATGATCTTCGAACATTTAGCGCGTTGCTTCGACTGCTGCTTGAGGACCTCGTCTACATCAATGAATGTATTACAAAGCTGATGGAGTCGATTCTCATGCGATATAGGGCATAGCCGAGCTTTGTTCCCACGTGGACTGGAGGGGAGTTTATGGAAAGGTGGAACCACCGTCTCGCCTTCCCATTAAAAGCATAACTAACCACTGCGCTACGCCTTCTGAGATTCTCATATCGGATTATGGTCTTGCTTAATGGAAAAGAAACTTCCACGGAAGAGTTCCTGTAACGTGATTTCCATTTCCATTGCCGTGCTTTTACCGAAATTCTTCGATTCCACATTCCTTTTCTGCTGTTGTACCGTTTACATCGTTGCAATGAAGGCGCCATTGACAAATTTGAAACAGTTCTGGTCAACGATGAACAAATTTAATTTATATGCTCCGTATCAACAAGAGAAGAAGGTCAAAGTGAGGAGACAGAATTCCATGAAAGCAGATAAAGTAGGTAACGGAGCACAATAAAGCAAACACCACGATATCTTTTATCCACGATGATAAAGGTTTCGCCATTCGTCTGCTCAGAGAAAGATCCTTCGTTTTTATTTTCTTGGACGGTTATCATACCATTTTTATATGCTTCTCGATGTTGAGAAGATATGGTTATGTTCTAAAGAAATTAACTTGGTGTTTGCGTCAAAACTAATCTCCATGCCGTATTATGGTTTCATCGCATCATTCTAAATCAAGTGGTGTCCTCTGCTTGAACCTGCTAAGCATTTCGTCCAGGTCACTCCAGCTAGGAAGTCGCTAATCCTTGTGGTTTGGCTGTATTGTGAATAAGCTTCTCCTAGGATAGCACCGTTTCCTGCACTTGCAACGAGTCTTGCTAATGTTGATCGACCACTTGAAGGCGATGTAATAAATTGAATTAGCATCGCACGACAATACATGAAGTCCATAGGAAAAATACGGTATTTATTTAAAAAAACCAAGATACACTAAAGATATAAAAAGAAAAAAGCGAACTGCTGAGCTAAAAATACGAAAGAAACGGTAGAACCACACATGGTTGAGTATCTTGGACAACAACTACTCCGCATAATTCAACCCATAGAAGAAAATATACGCTCATCTACGAAAAAAATTCCCGAATAGAGCTCGTTGTCGCAAATGTCTTAAAGCGATTAAGTAACAAGAATACCGCGTCAGGTCGGTCAGCAGCCGACTTGTCTTGTGAAATGGAAAACTGAAGAATTGGTAGACATCCTCCAACGGCAGCAAAATGAGGAGTACTTCGACCAGCATCGTCCGTAGCCTCTAGTATGCCACTCACACGACTTATCATTCGTTTAGCACCCTAAAACACAAAAAATCCACACCCTTCTCGTCAAATTTCTACCAGAAATGACAAAAAGTATTGTAATAGCATCCAGGATCGACTTTCCATTGTCGTATAGGATCCCTACATTTGTACCTTCACTACTGCCAGCATTTAAAAGGAAGTCAGCATAACTACCTCATCATTTGATTGATGCAAGAGCTCAGCGTATTCGTGCAGGTCTTCCATTTTCACGCCGTGACTGCCGAGTTCCATGGCTAGCAAATAATATACAAATAATTGGCAGTACTAGTTCCTTCGTGAAAACAACAAATACATTAGTAGTCGAGATGATATGACAACAAAACCATCCAACAATAGAGTTACTTCCGAATTTTATAGACTCGAATAAAAATACTGTCACATATAATGGAAACCGAAAGACATAATTAATCAATCACCACAACCATAACTTGGAAAGCACCCGTTTTTGCAGTATAAAGTAAATTACAACAAGATAGAGTATGAGAGCAATTGTGACCAATACTTTATCAGTGAGTTCTCGTCGTTCATACTTTGAAAGAAGTTTGCTGCCTGTCTGAAAGAGAAAAATCAAAGCGAAAGAGATGAGAAAAGGAAAGCAAGCTAAATGAAAACGCACTTGTATATGACCCGCGTGACTTGCAAATTCAGTGTGAGTCTGGGCGAGCAATGAACTCGAGTGTACCAAACTATCCATCGTTTGCTCATTCTGTGCTATTCTCTCGCCCATCTTTGATAACAACGCTGATAATCGTTCTGTTGTCTACAATAGAATGCAGACATCACCCGAAGAAGGAGGAAAAAAGAATAAATAACCAGAATATCCTACTTTGGCAGCATCGTTCCTCAGGATCTTCTCATCTATTTGTTGCGCTCTGTGTTCAAGCTCCACTGAACCACCTTCGAGTAATGAAGTACGCGCTGATTCACCTGAAAACCAAACTGATTGAAAATTTGGAGCTTGAATTCAACCTACAAAAACGTTGATCTCTGAGGTTACGTCTTTTCAGGAAGGACATTACGTTAAGCTTGAGAAATAATATCACTTCTTCTAGATCATTTACACACGACTTTATGACGTTTTTCGCCTTAAAAAAGTGTAATGAAAAACAAAAAACGGTGAGCACTATTGCTTCACGTTCAGTAAGGTTATGAGTACGTGAACACTCATAGATTCCTCTCCTAATCGATTATAGGATAGATCGAATAGTACACATCTAAAATTCATTGTTACCTTTCACATGTTCTAGTAGTCCAGACTCTTCCGGCATTCAGATAGTACGTCTTCATATGTTTCACACCTAGATATCCCTCGATTTGATTCGTTTTTTAACCACCGTCATCCAGAGAAGTGCTATCGCTCGTATTTTTGGCTGCACTGTGAGGTCGTGAAGTGTTGTATCTTTACCGATATTTTAAACTCTGACAGAACACGATTTTCCCGAATTCCTGAGAAAGGCAAACCTAAGGAGTTCTCAAATCTTCTTTACTGGAGACCGTTGTCCACACTTAGAAATCTTTGCGAGGCTTGCTACGTTGCGAATAAACTTCTCTAGGGATGGCAGTAATTGCTGTAACAGCAACGAACCTGTGATTAGGCTAATCACCGGCTTAGAACGATATAGCTAGCCGTATTTACCTTGATTCGATTCTTGACTAAAGCATTAAGTTACAGCTAAGAAGTCCGACCAATCTGTTTGCACTGCTGTTCGTTTCACATTAATATATTCTGTCAAAAGCTTCTGAATTGCAAGAAGACTATCGTTCATCGGTCTGAAACGATTGTCTCGTTTATTAGCTTATAAATGATAAATTAAAGATACAACTCTCCACGTCGATCAATTCCTGAGGGGATGCGCCAGGCATTCGACTTCATTAAGATCATGGAAAGTCAATGAATGCATATTTGGCCTTTATAACAACTCGCGGTGGCCTACCGATGTAACGAGCTAGTGCTGCTCTCCTCCAAGACAAGTCTGGTACTAATTTGCCGACCCCGGAGGGATGGAAGGCTCCGTGTGCTTGGGGCACGAGGATCGTCCCATGGATATTGCAGGGAGCCTCCGATCACCGCGCTACACACGCCCCTTGGTAGTTTAAAGGCAAAATAATCAACATGGAAAATAATTTGGGCCGGCGAAAGAAAAATAAACTTGGTTGGATATTAAAAGTGAAGACAGTGAAGAACAAATACGCTCAAGCGCTCTGTCACTCCACAGCTCACGCATGATTCGATGTAGGCGTTACGTACACAGGCTGAGTGTAACTAGCACTGTTAAAATAGCCAACAAGACGAGGGTGTTTCTTATAACCTGCAAAGGCTAGTAATTGTCCTCAATACCCAGCAAAGGTGTTCATTTTCAAGATGACGTCTTGTCACAGCAGTCAAGTTGCACCTGTTTATTATCAACAACCTTTAGAATGTCAAATTCATAGCGCTATAATCAACATATTTAAACCCTTCTCTTCAGTTATATTGAACTAAGGTATACTCGGTACTACGCGATTAAGTTAACAACATTCGCCGAAACCAGCCGATATTCAAAGCGACTACCTCGGTAAGAAGGGTGCGTGTAGCACAGTGGTCGGCGGCGCCCTACAATCACACATGACCGATCTCTGCGCCCATCGCTCACCAAACCTTCCATCCCTCCGGGATCGGCAACTTGGTACCAAACTTGTCTGGGAGGATAGCAGCACTGGCTCGATACATCGGTAGGCCGCCGCGAGTCATTGTAAAAGCTAAATATGCATTCAATCACCTCCAAACGATGCTTAATGAAGTCGAATGCATGGCGGGTGCATCCCTCAGGGACCAACGCCGAGAGCTTTTTTTTACCAGTTCTTCAAAACAGCTTTGATTTCAGTCCTTCCCAAGAAGTACACAGTGGCGCAAAGGCAGTCAATAACTCGACCTTATGCGGAATTTGCAAGCAGTAATGCCGCCCGCGACAGAAAATCTTCGGTATCTGGTAAATGAACAACTTCAGGTTGCGCTGCTTCTATTCGAACAATGATTCATCAACCTAACCGTGGCAAGCGTATTCCTGAATATCGAACTACTAAGTACAGAGAGAGACGTATTTCCCCAACAGGCTCATCTAAGATGAAGAGTTCGACATTTACACTGTGTCCCACTGAGCATAGTAAGCTACGAATGCCTATCTTGGTAAGAATAGTGAGAAACATGGAAAAGGATTTAATACCAAAAATGTCATGATTCTCGTATCTTTCTACCATCCGGAGACCATTGTGGTGCGCAACAGGTACAAATGAGTGGTGGTCTGATTGTTGCTTCCAATAAATGACGAAGTGACTTAAAAATGAAAAAAAAGGATAAAACTCTCGGCGTTGATCTATCTCTGAGGGATGCACCATACATTTGACTTCACTAAGCATTGCTGGAGGTGAATGAATGCACGTCTGGCCTTTACAATGACTTGCGGTGGCCTTCCGATGTATCGAGGCAGTGCTACTGCCGACCCCGGAGGGATAGAAGGCTTGGTGAGCCCAGGGCGCGGGGATCGACCCAATGTGTGTTGCAGGGCGTGTCCGACCACTGCGCTATACACGCCCTTACAAATAAAGCATAGCACGTAAGTGATAAAATTCCACTAATGTTGTTAGCATGACCTCTCAATCATGTCGAAAAAAGAGGGTAAGTACCAGACGTGCTCAACTCTAATGAACTGGAAATGTTTCATCCAAGGAATAGACGGTCTCTTCCCAGATACCAACGAATTCTGCATCAGAAAAAAAACTTACTGATAGCTTTTCGAGCGCAGATAGTGGCTGATCTGAATTGCTGGCGATTTTCGGCTAATTCTTTGGCGTGAAGATCGATATTCTCACGAGTGTTTAGCTGTTCCCTTCTGGACGATAACTAAAAAGTAGCAGATTCTAAAAGAACACATCGGATCATTCAAGAAGACAGATGAAGACGTAGTATAATTCTGAATGGCAGCCGAAAATCGACACAAATCAAGCAACAAACTAGAGAAAAACGCAATTACCTTTGATGTTACCGCTTTCAGTTGGTTAATCTTGTTTTCCAGTGAGGTCAGAATTTCCTTGAATTCGCGCGTTTCCTCGTGTAGAATACGTTCATCACGAACATTCTCCCTGGATGTGTAACTATTATTACTTACTTGGTTGGATACTTTGATGGCCTGTCTTCACTGGTTCTGTGAGCCCCAGCATAATCTACATTTTCTCGGAGTTTTGCTAGTTTAGCCGTTGTGGTTCCCTAGATTCCAGAGATCATTCTAGCCAAAGTCCGCCCCAGGTCGTCACCACCACAAGCAGTCCACAGTGTTCCTCACCATTTTCAACAATGCATTGATCCCTTGCCTAGAAATCATCAAAGCATTAGCGTAAGAGTGAACTCGAATTCACCCTTGTGGATCAAAGAGAGATTTGCCACAATGCGACTAGTTTGATACCAGGACGGTGACGGATCCTGGTATTCGTTTACTGTTAGCTGGATTTCCTGATGGAAACGCCGGACTTCTCAGCTTGGGAGACCCTGCCGGGGGATGAATGCTCCCGATGTACATCACATCCCGACATTCACGAACAGCCCCAGCCACGATGAGGCGGTAAACCGTTAGGAGGGTAACCATTATTAAAAACTCATAAAACTAGAACTCAAGAACTATAAAACGATCCCATTTACCTGACATAGTCGATCTTTTGCTTTACGATCGTATCAAGTCGGACAATTTCTTGATGCAAAAGCTGAGCTTCTAGTGTTGTACGATTCGTAGCTCGAGCCATTTCGCTCCATAAAAAACACCTGTTCACAACCTGAACCTTCCAGACTCGGATTAGTCATGTTCTTACAAGAATTTGAAAATGAAAATGTGGTAGATAGGACTACAGCACCTCGACTCATGAACAAAAATGAAGTTTTGATGGACAAGTCGAAACATTTTATTACGTCTTTCAGAATAAGACTTGAGCTTCATCTCTTATAATAACAGAACCTAACCTAATTCCGACAGAACTGAAGGAATAAACACAAAACGGCTACATCGATCGAATGTAAACGCAGTAACCGTGACGATGTGATCCATCAACAAGGACTAGAACAAAAGGCGAAGGCACAAACTTAGATATCAAAACCGGCTTTTTTCATGCACTGCTTATGAGCTTCAATCAGTTCTCCACAATGTTCCTCACCATTTTCAACAATGCATTGATCCCTTGCCTAGAAATCAACAAAGCATTAGCGTAAGAGTGAACTCGAATTTCGAAATTAAAATTCTAGTCCACCTAGGATGCTCCGACCTATTCTCTCTACTGAACGACAACTTAGGCCCTGACGAAACATTGCCACCGGGATTGAAATTAACCCCCTCCAGAGTAGGGTATGTGATAGCAAGAACTGACCATAAGCAATAAAATACAGGGCCAGAGAACACATTTCTCGAGACCGAGACGACAGAACCTACCCAGGAACCAAACGAACAAGAATCATGAGGGAACTTTTTTACATTCGAGTCATCAGAAGTCAACGAATTTATTGGTTCAAGAACAGAATAATAGGAAAAAGAAAGCACTGCGGTACGGGAACAGCTCGAGAAAACATTAGAAAAGCGAAACGATGGTTACTACATGCGACTCCCTTGCAAGAGCAATCCAACCATACTACATGAAAATAAAGATATGGCCATACGACTGCAAGTAACGACTATCTTGCTCGCAAAAACATCCATTCAGGTTCCAAAAAGACGGCGAGACTATAACACAACAACTAAAGGACAATATTAGCAAAGAATTCATCACTACCGGATGAAATTAGGATGAGTTTAACGCAGTAATTTGTATTGCACCGCAACACACAAGTGGTCCTTGGTTTTATCCCATTACATGGCCAAACCAAGACATCATCCCTCCGAGGTCGGCTAACTGCTACCAGAGCTATATAAGACTTCAAAAATACTGACTTTACACATCAATAAGTCACCTCAAGTGGCTGCATAGGCGAAATATGCATTCAATCACCGCTACGATGCCTAGAGAAGTCGAAAGAGTAGCACATAGACTATGGATTGATCATCGCCGGAAGTTTTCTCGTTCATCTCTTACTGGATAAAATTAGGACAAAAGGGGAAATAAACGATATTAAGGAACGGCATCTATCCCCATGTAGCTTTATAAAATCTTTATGCAACTCAACGTCTATTTTGTTTGAAAGGACCAAACCAATCTTAACCGGAAACCATTCAGTTTCATCAACCCTTCATTATACAAAAGACCACTGCCCACTGCTGACTAAGAACTAGCGTCTGTAGGAAAACCAATAAAAAAGGAATTCACAATTCCAGAGTGTTACCACTCTTCAGTACCAAGCAGTTTTGAGAAGCGATGGAAATAAGTATAACACCATATTAAACCATCATTTAATTTCGACAATTTATCCAAGGAACTTTCACGAATAACTCATTAGTACGAAGAAGAGAATGAAGTGGAACCTACTGCAAACAACTCAAAAGGAACGACCTCTCCCCTTCCTGCCCACTACTTCAGTTTTTTGGAAAAGTAAATTCTGGTGGGAAGTGATCATAACACGTTTCAAGAGCACAGAAAAGAACCTGACGAGTAATGTCAGTAGTACCTTCTTCGTTTCCGGACACGCACAACACGGTTTCAGCTTTTTCTCACCATTTGTGTTCGATGACTTGACATGGGATTCCTTTTGATCTGGCATATTATTAAGAGCACTGTCAACAAACTTCAGTTAATCATGAAGGAGCAGAGATACTTCTCACTTAATACAATGGAAATTCTCAATGCAAATGTAACCTCGATGGCAACCAACTATCAGAATCAACACCAGTCAGGAACATATATTTATTTTTCGATCTTTTATGTAACATAGACATTAAAGACAAATTTCATGTTGTCGAGATGCCACATTGAGGGTCATGGGCAGGAATAAATAAAGAAAATGTGACTCTGACTCACAGTTGTTGACGAAACCAGAACCGTGGCTGGTACCTCAGTAAGCAATTAGAATACGAAAGAAAAACATCAAAATTAAGCAGAGAACTAGTGTTTGAGTAGAAAATTAGTGATGAGCAAGACCCCAATGACTCAATTAGTTCGCACGATTAAAACGATGGAAATCAACGCACGATACAACGGATGGAAATCAAACTGCATTCATCTTACCCACTAGCACTTAACCCTAATGAGACAGAAAGAAGAACCAGTAAACAGTCGCACATACAGACAATACTCCAGTGATCAGAAATGTTAAAAACACTATATTCACGAGAAAATGTAATCAGTCGCTTTGGCTAGATCCCAGTTACTGCAGCTTAGTACGGAGATCGCTTCGTCCTTTAAAAAAAATTCAGTTAGTTACCTTACTAAGCTCCTATGAAGTCTTTTAAGAGGTTAAAGGCTGAATAAAAGACTATATAAATGACACATGACGAACCTCTGTCACACCCATGTCCCGTAGTTTTTCAACGTGCTCTCTATACTGCGGATTTTCTTCAGCCTTCCCTTTCGCATATCTGATTGTCCAAAATATTGCCGTTTCCTGAAAAATTCCAAAAGCTTTCTCAAACCTACATATTATGTTACTATGAGTGATTTACCGATACAGATTCAACTTACACAAACAAAATTGAGAAAGCTCAAAGCGGACCAATACAGTATATATGTTGACGTGTACATACATATATATGTACATATATATATAAGCAGATATATACATGTACATACACCCAACTGTCTGCCGCCTCACAGTGGCTGGGTGTTCCTGGGTGCCCGGCTGCCAAGTACAGCGGGGTATTCATCTCCACAACAGGGTCTCCTAAGCTTGGATGGAGTCCGGCGTTTCCATCAGGAAGCACAGCTAAGAGTAAAACAATACCAGGATCCACCACCGTCCTAATGTGAAACTACTCGCATGATGGAAAATCTAACTCTGATCCACAAGCGCGGCGACTGCCTGTGGTGGTGACAACGTGGAGCAGACTTTGACCAGGCTGACCTCGGGACTCCAGGGAACCGTAACAGATAAACCAGCAAAACTCCGAAAAATGGAGAATATGCTGGTGCGTGCGCAACCAGCGAAGTCGAGTCATCTAAGCATCCAAGTATATATATATATATATATATATATATATATATATATATATATATATATATATATATACGTATATATATACATGTATATATATACATATATTGGATGCTTAGATAACTCGATAATATATATATGTATATAGTGTATATGTGCATACGCATGTGTATACATGTATATATATATAAATATATTACGCCAGATCTCTCGCTAATCGCTTAATAATAATCGTAATCATTTCCCTTTAGGAAGGACAAAGGTCGCAAGGCAGTAAACCTCTCTAGCACAGTTCAGTCGAAATCGAAATGTTAATGAGAAAAGATGGCAAAATCCTAAGCCACAGGTGAACCCAAACAACGACCAAAAACACTTATCTGGATGACGGTCGCAGGAAAAGCAACGAACGGAGATGGAACGGCCACACAACATGTGAACGCCCTGGGAGCACGCAATTATGTGGACCCATAAGAAACAAAACTGAATCCTAAATTTCTTCCTAGTGGTCTAATTTTGCTGCAATGGGAGAGTGTATAAGTGAACCAAATTAGCCGAATACCAGCAGTCTCCACTCAGCATTTCAGTTAAAGAGTCATACTACTAACGTCATGCTAATGCATGGAACAATTTCAGACAAATGGAAGCGAGTTCCACAATGGATGAGTACACGAGCTCACTTCAGAAAATGTACTTTCTCAGCGTGGTAGTTGTACGATTATAAAAAGCAATTTCTTCAAAATACGCGACAAAAAACCTTAAACAGTGATGGATTCGACATATATTGTTTAGCAACGACGGCATCTTGTGGATCCTTTGGTTCCGGTGAGCACATTAATGCTTGAATGCTTAACAGAACTGTGCGTAGTGTTAGTGATGCAGCCCTGAAAAGCTTTGGTCAAACCATGTAGAAGACAAACGGTGAAATGGTTTTAGAATTTTTGTCTTGTACTTCAAGTTGCAAATCAGTTCCCGAACATACACACATTCTTCGGATTAGATTGGAAACAAACGTTACAAATGCGAAAAAGCCTCTTGGTGCTCAGTGCTCTATTGACACACCCCTCGATGGAATCGAAAAAGACAAATAAATTCTAATTATGTAAAAAAAAATCCAGAGCAACCGTTGGATAAAGTCATTCAAATGTAGCGCGCCTTCTATTGCGGAAGACAATGGACTTTGAAGTTTTTAAGATGCATCATCAAAGTTCTATTTTACATGATCTAAGTATTAAGGGCCTCCCAGCGGTTTTCAGCTTCATTGTGGCTGGGAGGTGCTCCTGGGTAACGGGGTGCGATGACCAGCGAGAGGATTTATATGCCCGGCAGTGCCTGCCACGTTCAGGAGAAGGACTTTTAAATAAGAAATCCCAGCTAAGGGTAAAGCAATACCAATACCAGGATCTACCGCCGTTCTGGTATCAAAGCAGGCAAGCCTCAAATCAAATCTGGTGGCAAATTCTCCTCTGATCCACAAGTGCGCCGTGGTGGTGACGACCTGGAGCAGACTTTGGCTATGGTGACCTCGAGGCCCCCCGGGACCACAATGGCTAAACCAGCAATACTCCAAAAAAGTGGAAATTATGATAGAGCCCTCACAATCAGTGAAGACGGTCCACTCGAGCATCCAAGTAAGCAAGTATTAAGCTAGAACTAAGTAAGAACAGAAAGTTGCTGTGAAGAACTTTTACGGTTTCAGCATTCGTCAAAACAAGATAGGATTGTAATGCCTTCCTTAAGTTTCTCATCCATCTGGACACTTTATATGTAAAATCCGTTGTAAGGTCCGCAATATAAGATATGAAGAGCAAAAAATGCAAAGCGTGCTGCAGTAAGGAAGAACTTAAGGTAAGATACTTGAAGATAGGAAACCTAAAGTGCTGCAGCTAAAGTAGTGGAAAATACGAAGGATAAGAGAAAATTCTCTCATAGTCACTCTAAATTCTCATAGCCTTGGTTAATCAATAATCCATCCTTACCAGACAGACTCACCATTGATCCTTAAGTATATCAAGACAAATAGTTCCCGTTTGTGAGCTGATATTAGGATGCCAAATTTTGGTAAGGAATTTGATCTGAAACGAAGTACGAACTAGTGGCAGCAATTGTGTGATGAAGTTCATAAGGCCTTGATAAGGTAAACTCCTCTTCAGCCAAAGAAAATACTCGAATCTCCCTATTTAAGAAAAAAGGATCTAAATACACCTCTAAGTGCAAACATAATTTGAGTGCACTACATTGAAAAAGACAAGAGAAGCAAATACCTTCGGCGGTGTAAAGGGATAGGTGTCGGGGATCTTGATCTCCAAGTCAAACGAGCCTCCTTGGTATGGAGTGTCCGGCGGTCCTCGGATCTGGCCCTTAATCTCCGACAGCGAGTCGTTGAGGATTTCGATCATGATGCCCGTCTCGGCGATCTCCTTGTTCGTCACAACTTCTTTACATTCTCGCTGAATCCGAGTAAACGCAATATTTGACATCTGAAATGAGCCAGCAACGGAATCACTGTACACTGACACCACTGGCCTGATTTCAAAAGGCGGAAAAAGGAAGGAAGGGAGAACAAAGCCTAGGAGAATCAACGATGCACTTCGTAATCACAAGGATTCGCTTCTGGCTCTCCAGGATTTCATACATCGTCAGAAGCAAACACTCCAAATACAACATAACAAAAGAAAGAACGAAATTCGAAGCCGGTTTTTACAAGTACCGGAAAACCTTGTGTCAAATGGAAAAAGAGCTAGCTACAATTTTACTGCACTATAATAATAGTCGTGAATCCACATATACAGTTTGCTATAAAGCTCTAAATTTGCTAATCACGGCCAGTTATCCACTGAATCTGAGAGGACGACAGCGGCACTTCGAAAGTCCTTTTCATTTGCAATGCACCTGAAGTACTGAGACTCGACAACGGCGGCGATACTCAAGTGGACACACGAAAATGAGAACACATCCATATGCTGTGGATCGTTAGACATTTAAGCAGTAACAGGGCTTACTAGTAGACACTAGCAGTTAGGAGATTTAAACGGATACCGGGATGGTCCAAGAACGGCCGAGGACGGCGAGCGGAGACCGCGGTGCGTCTTCACGTAGTCGCGCGAGACGCCGCGAGTGCACACGTGCGCGACACTTGATCCCGCCGCTGGCGCGCGGCCGAACCGGGCCTCTTTCTACTGATCGTATGGTCTTCTCCTTGCCTTCAGGCTGACAATTATGAAGTCATTACTGCTCTCATTGTCTCTGCTATCTCCCTTGTAACTGTTTTGCCAGCGTTTCTGGGAAAATAGAACGGTTTGATGACGCTCAGGCTTTCAGAATTCGTTTCGATCGTTCGGGTGTTCGGAAGGAAGACGAGGAGTCATGGGCGGTCGTCGACGTACCTCAACAGCGACTGCGCGGGATGTGTCGGAAATGAGTCCGACCGGTTCGGACACGTTGCTGTACTCGGATAAGAAGAAGGAAACTCACCTTCGGTGTGAACGACAACGCCGAGAAGCCATCAACGTATGTTCAAAATGTCTCTGTTTCTGTGTTTCTTTGCTTGTAAACGCTCTTTTGCACTCTTTTTTTTTTCTTCACAGGTGTAGAACACTACATTCGAGGACTTCAGTCATGCTTCGAGTTAAACAGTCTAAATATTACTGTTCCACCATGGTTTATCGCCTCATCGTAGCCGGGAGGTGTTCCTGGGTGTCGAGCTGCGACAGGGGATTCATCACCCTGGTAGGGTCTCCCAAGCTGAGAAGGAGTTCGGCGTTTCCATCAGGAAGCCTAGTTAAGAGTAAACCAGTACCGGAATTCGAGATAATAGTTTAACCAACAAATCTCCAAAAAGTGGAGATTATGCTGGAATCCGCGCAATCAGTGAGGACGGGTCGTTCAGTTATCAAGCGATTAAGTAAGATTACTGTCACAGCATTGCATCTCGCCAGTCTATGCACCGCAGTGGTTAGAGGTGCCCTCATGCACCCCTAGTAATGAGTTCGATCCCGCGTCCCGGTTTCACCAATCTTCCCTTCCTACGGGTTCGACAAACGTACCAAACTTGTCTGAAAGAATAGGGGAACTGACTCAGTACATCGATAGGCCCGTGCAGGTTTTCGTATAGGTCAGATTTGCATTTAGTCGCTTCGACGAAGCTTGACGATGCCGAAATCATGGCACGTCCCACAGTATTTGACCAACTCCGAATGCCTTATCCTTTATAGCATAACATGTTCATGTTCGATCTCTGCTATTATCTTTATTTCCTACTGTGGACGAATTTTCACCATAGTTCATGGTAACGAATGTCCTAACTTTTCCTCATTCCTGTGTACAGCTCTATGTTGGAAATGCGCGTGTAGCGCGGTGATCGGAGAGACCCAGCAATACATATAGTATCAATCCCCGCGCCCCAGGGTCGCACGCCCTCCATCCCTCAGGGGTCGGCAAATTGGTACAAGACTTGTCTAGGAGGACAGCAGTAGTGGCTCGTTCGTTAACGCACCGCGGGTGACTGTGAAGGTCATATATGCATTCGATGAAGTGCAACGATTTCTAACCTAATGAAATTGAATGCACGGCGCATCTCTCAATGACTGATCATCGCTGAGAGCTTTATCCTTTATCCTCTTACATCTATAGTCGTGTTGCCTATTCAAAGTTGATTACTATTTACGCTTTTCTTTCCAATACCCAGACTTTCGGAGTAAGGTCTTACGAAGTTTGCCATTGTTTACAAAAGTCATTTTCGTTTGGCCAGTATTAACGCACTAGGGCGTGACACTTTTTGATAGTTCGATATCTGATAAACCTGAGTTTTTGATCTATCTGATACGCCTGATTTCGTCTCTTCTGTCTCACACTCGTGAATTCAGTGTGGTTCATTTCGTCCAACACGTCAGTATTTTTTCTGGTATAAAGAGCGAACCAATTTTTCTTTTTTTTTTTATTGAGAGCAAAAATTAACATTAGGTACTTTGTGAATCATCGGTCACTCACGTTTACCTTCTATTAACTCGACCATTCGAACATCTCTACCTTCCTTAGCGCCCGCGGTTCCCTTTGTGTTTAGTCACTTTGGAAGCTACATCGATGTTCTGTGTAAAGGGATCCACTCCATTTCTACGGTTTCCATCTAATCCGTTTAGACAAGTTTCCAGTTTCAGCTTTCCAGCGATTTGCATACGACTCGGCTTTTAAGCCTTCATTTCAGAGTGGTTACTCTGACTTGAAAGAATTGATACCGCCAACCACTTCTGCTATGGGATGCAAGATCACAAATGCAGCTATTCTATTCAGGTAATTTTGGGTTTTTATTGGTATACATGGCAGCCGCTGGTCAAGCGGCCCATCGAGTCGTAAGTGTTGTTTTTTTGTCAACTCTGGGAATATAGCAGTGACTTGTTAGGTTCAGTTAATGGCACCAATGACTGCATATGTGTTCCCTTCGAACCACTGCCTCAGAAGTTTTGTGCATAGAAGAAAAACACTTGGAAAACTCTCACCATCTTTGTAAATTTACGGAGTGAAGGTTTTCGATCGAAATTATTATTTAGTTCTTAAATAGGTTCTGTAATAGAGAATTATAGTGACTACGGTTAGGAAAAACCCACTAGATAACCTTGCGAAAGGTGTGAAGGAGAGATTGTGAAGATCGCGGACGTAGGCTACGCTCAAACCTTTCAATGAATCCACTAGCTAGTTAACGGACCCAGTAATCCACACTCACCAATTGGACTTAACGGTTCCTCTCAGCGCTTCGCTGTGAAATTCAAAAGTAAGGTGTTCCCTTATCTATGTTGAAGATTTCCGGACTAGCAGTCAATAGATATCTCTTGAAATATTGCTGGCAAGTACAGACTAGACCACGCCTGTTCAGAACTTTAACAATAATCTCATCTTGGAAGTCGAAAGGTTTGTACTGAAAGTGAATCCAAGAGGATGCAAGCATCTGTTAGGAAACCATCTATTCAATGAGCGCGCTTGCTTTCACAGCTTGGGTCGTATAATTGTAATCGCAAAAGAAACTTTTCGCGGATTATGGACTGGTGTTTATCGACGTTATTGTGTATAAGACGGGACCATTACAAACGACAGTTGTGGTGAAATGAGAATGCAACCTCAATTTACGATGATGAGTTATCCACGAATCCTAGCGAACTTATGGCTGCCTGTCACCATTTCATATTGTTCCAAAGTAATTGTTGTTGATAATTGATGAGGTAAAGGTTGTCATACTACAGAGCATGCGACTATATGACTCAGCTGAAATCCGAAGTCGAAGCCAGTGAAAAGGAGCTACGACGACTAAATGCCGAGGTTTCACAATTTTTCCATTTTGTTTCGTTCAATCAGCGTTTACGAACTGCGCTTAGGTTTCCGCTCTGGAGATGATCGCAGCTCAGTACGAGACGATGGCTGCTGAGGCGCCGTCAAGTAATTCATGCTCTCTACAAGCACGCATGGTATGCCTACTAACGTTGGCTTATATTTCTAAGTATATATTGTCTTCTTAACCAATATCATCAATTTTATTGTTTTAATTGTAATTGATAGTATTTACATCAAGTTGTTCTCCAGAGTTTGAGCACCTTTCATTTCGAGATCAGGGACAAAAAAACAAAGAAAGAGGTAGAAGCAAATTGCGAACTAGTTGCAGTTCTATTTCAGTTACAAATTCTGATCGATGGCTGTTTCTCAACGTTCGTTGAACAAGTAGACTTTTCTTCGTATGCATCAATTACGAGGACGCTTCTTACATGGGTTGAGCAACTCGCTTCCCATAATAATGCATTCAAGGTAGGTTTCGTATCCCTGCAGTTTTCCATTCAATCATTTTCTAATCTGTGATCCCCTTCTGTCTATACAGTATACCACAGCAGCAAAACCTCGTCTTCAGAGATTGATTAAGACATTGGTATAAATTGTCGTTATTGTTGTTATTCGTCAATGGCTGACGTTTCCGCAATTTCGCCTTCCTTAGAGCCGTGTTGTTGCGAGTGGGGCTGGCCTTGTATTGAGCACTGGATCTGCGCAGTGGGGCAGCACGGCTCTGAGGAAGGAGAAATCACCGAAACGTTAGCCATCGACCAATAACAACGAAAATTTATGTCAACCTCGCATCAGCTCAACAAGATCAGTTCATAAGAGCATATAAGTAGATATATCGATTGTTTATGACAAGTGCTATAGAAAGTCGGTTTTTTGAGTGACTAAGATATTCTTATATAGGTCCTGAAGTGATTCGTGGTTAGATTTCATCCGAGAAATGTATTGCCTTACTGCGGTTAACAAATTTGTACCTTCGATATGAAACAACTGAAAATCTTAATGGGTATCTCGTGCTTTGAACTGATCATTGTATGCTTTTGAAATTAATGTAAGCTTTGTAATTTTGCTAAGTTGGTGCAATAGTATTTGCGCCTTCGGACTGTGAATTTTAAATCACCGTAATTTGACTTCAGATTTTTAATCAACATAGCAACCATTAGAATGGGTGCATTCTTTCAACAAGGTACAAATTTATTTACTTCGGTATAACAATAGTGGTAAGCCATGTAAGTTCTGCTCTGGGTTTCTTCTACACAATCTTCTACGCAAATAGAAATGACGATTGTTTAAATGCAATTTGGTGCCAAAGTGGAGCTGATACGACAACCGACAGAGTTCGGTATAGTGTTTGGGCCAGTATTAAGCTCCTAATCGTTTTCTGATGCGTAATTTGTACCAGAAGAAGTTTATAATGGATTTTTTTTTGAGGTCTAACTATTGAGTTATCCAAAATAACGCTTGGAATCCAGGGAAAATCGAAAATATTGTCAATAAATGGACAAAACGTACTAATGTCCCAAACATCTGCGACGGTGTAACTCAACAGCCTTTTTTGAATAAGTCGAACTAATTGAGCTAAGAATCTCTTGTTTATCAACCATGCACATAAGGCCACTCACCCGCCAACCAATTGCCCTTTTTTAAGTACGTCGGCAACTATTTCCAGGGAAAAGTCTTTAACAAAAAAACTGGTTCCCAGGATTGACTCCCTATTAGCCTCGATATTAGATTGGTGATGCGATGCGTCGTTTTCTTGTTCAGCAATCGTGAAGTTCCTGTACAGCATAAGTTTAATTCCCTACGAAAACCTAATAGAACAGTAGCTCGCGTTTCGACTGCATCGTCTTCAAAGCCTGGAAAAGGAGTAGGTTCTAGAAATACTTTGGAAGAATTTGGTCGCTTCAAGAACATCAGAGTTCTGTTCTGTTTTACTAGGTAAAATAAATTTGTATCTTCTTCGAAGCAAATTTGTTTGGATTCAAGTGTTTCTGAATTTCATTACTAAAGTTGTTTGTGCGCCTATAATTTCAGTTCACGTTTCGTCACCGCAATCACTTTTGCATGATGCTATAATAAGTCTCTTGTTAGAAACACAAAGCTAGTTCAAACGAAAAGCTTCTCATAGTGAATAGATTTTGTCACCATATTGTGGGTGGAAGCTGGATACTCTGAGAAAATAGGAACTCTGTTGAATTATTTGACCCTATAGGTAAGGAGGGTCTTGCTGAAGCATTAATTTTAACAAATTGTTGTGGCTCTTAGATTGAAATGAACCCCAGATGCCATTAATTTGTTTGCTCATAGTATCGAGGACTATTTTCAGAAAGTTGCTGGGGAAATGGTTACACTACCATTCACTCATCGTTGATGATCCTTCTGACATTGCAGTGAATGTGATCCCAAAAACCTTTGTAGCTTTGTTCAATTCGCAGTGCCTCACATATTTTTATAAGAACTACAGGTGAAAAATACATTTCATATAAGCAAGAAGCCAGCTATTGTATTAATACTTTACCACTGACAACTCCATAAACATTTGTTAGTTTATGTTATCGTTCATTTTCTTTGGCATGGACTATTGTTAGCTTACGTATACCTCTATGGCAAAAACCATGTATTGAATTCTACAATTTTGTTACTTTTAAGTACTGGTAGCATCCTTAGGATTCGTCCTCGAAACATTGCGAATTTGTTGCTACCTTTATTTTTCAGGGAGTTATATTAAACCAATCACTGAGAATAACTTTTTTAGATTTAACACTGTATTGTTGCTCACAGTTTTTATCGTTGAAGTTTAAATAGTCTATTATGACATCCCTATGTTGATGTCAATGTAGCATTTCCCAGTCTACCTCATGTTTTCTGTAATAACCAATTTCTTTTCCGTTTTATGTGGAGATATTATAATTAGATCGTATATTGAAATATTTCTGGTTGGCAGTTATGCATTTGTAACGGTAATGAGTATGAGTTGGATTTGCTGGGTTGGTAGTAATTAAAGCTTAGAATGGCGCGTGTGGCGCAGTGGTCGGATGCGCCCTGCAATAGACATGGTATCGATCCCGGCGCTCCAAGCTCATCGAGCCCTCTATCCCTCCGGGGTCGACAAATTGGTTCCGGACTTGTCTGGGGGGGGATAGCAGCACTGGTTTGGCACTTTAGTAGGCTTCCACGAGTTATTGTAAAGGCTTGATGCATTCAGTCACCCCCAACGATGCTTATTGAAGTTGAATGCATAGCGCACCTCTCAGAGATTGTTCAACGCCGAGAGCTTTGCTCTTTTCTTTATATAGTTTACAAAGGCAAAGGGTTTGGTGTCGACCAATACCGGGGGTTGTGTTTCGAGTTCGTAGAAGTGATTAAATTAGCTGTTACACACGGTTGTTTCTTAGGGATTACCGATTCATCAATTTTAATGCTACCCTTCCAGACTAGTCAGGTAGCAATTTGTCGATGCAGGAAGGCGAGCTTGGTTTATTCAGAATGCCACTTCTAACATTTCTGTTACGCGCGTCTGTAAAAGTAATGGGATTCTTTTATTTAAGACATATGGCAGCCTATGGTAAGCACAGTAATGGTACATTCACCTAGCAGTTTCGTTCTATTACATTCGTCACCTGTGGACGGTAACCATCATGTCTCTTCAAAATTCCTACCATTTGTTGCAAGTTTGTTAGAGATGTTAGAGATGCCGATCATCACGACCACCGTGCTGGTTTGATCCCGCTTCATGCTCACGAAGTCTCTCATCCCTGCGGGGGGAGGGTGGTCAGGGAATTGGTACCGAACTTGTCCTGGAAGAAATCTCTGGGATCCAAATGGGAGCGATCTGGCCCAGTTATCTGAAAACTCCGGACAGAGTCGACTTGAGCAGCGTTCTATGACATTCAAGACGAAATGAGAATCCTCAAACAGCAGCCAAAGCCACACGTAAAAGTTGGGAGGCTTTCGTAGATGGCGGATGCGAGGAAACGAATGTGGGAAATGCTGGGGTCCGCTCAGTAGGCGTGAAGACGGATTGTGTAAAATGAAAAAAAATTCATGGGTTATGTTCTACATAGTTTCCATCCGGAGAACGTTTGGTTCCTTGATGATTTATGCTGTGACGTTTAGATTAATTTTTAGACGACTCAACGAAAGAAAATGATGGTTTCTTTGATTACTGTGGAAAAACTGTTGATGCAAGCAACGATTTAATCATATGCGTACAATATACTACTTTACTTAACCGAACACTTTTTAGGGATTAAAGTCCATTTTTATGTGTCGTAAAGTGTTTTCAGTTCTTGTAATTTTAGGTGGATCAACCCCAACCCCCTTTTGTAGCTGTTAAAGGACAGGAACTTGTGGCAGTCATTCCTTGGCTGCCATCTCCGTGAATACTTTTCGATGTTATCCTGATTTCAGCGCAAAAGATGGGATTTGCGTCTTTTTTCATGCTTCGTAATTTTTTTGTTCTGTAAAATCCGCTCTACACAATTGTAAATACAAAACGATGAAGCTTTCGCGTTGATCAATCCCTGAAGCATGTGCGATGAAAAGACGCTTCATCAGTCACAGAATGCATGTCTCGCCTGTACAATAACCAACAGGTGGCTTACCGATGTATTAAATCAGAGTTTTCGTTATCTCAATGTCTAGTACCCATTTACCAATGGAAGGCTTGGTGAGTCCTAGGTACGAGGATTCAATAAATAACTGATCCAATGTGTATTGTAGGACACCTATAACCACTGCGCTATACGCCCCTCTACACGAGCGATCTTCTAACGAACAAATTATTTTTTCATGAACTGACCTTGAACTGATGGAAGCTTCTTTGAGCTTTTATTATAGTTCTAAGTACTGTAGAAACTCAGTAAGGTTAATAATCTGCCTCACATCATGCTCCGAAGAAGGGCAGGTTGAAATGTTAGTAATTGAGAAAGAGTGGAAGTAAAAACTAATCCGGCAGCCTCGCATGAGTTCATTAAGAATAGTTTTTGAGGGATAAGTAACCAGTTAATTAATACCAAAGCTACCTGAAAGGTGACCTTGGATTCTAACAACTGCGTAACTGGTATTCAAATAGAATCTGCACAATGGGTTCTATAGGTGTAGACTATCTGCCAGCAAGGAATATAAACCAGATTTCTTTTACTCAAGATGTTTAACAAAATATTTGTGACCACTCAGCTTATATAAAAGGATAAACGATAAAGCCCTTGATGACGATCAGACTGAAGGATGCGCGATTCATTCGAGCTTCATTAAGCATCGTTAGAGGTGGTTGAATGCATATCTGGTCTTTACAATGACTCGATCTGCTACCAATTTCCCGACCATGGAGGGATGAAGAGCCTGGAGCGCCGGGATCAATCCTATTTGTATTGCAGGGCGCCTCTAACCATTGTGCTACATGCACCTCTACTTATGTAGAAGATCGAAATTATGCGTGTGAGCTTTTCTCTACAAATTCGACACAATGATATAATATTCATTATTTTAACGAATATATGAGCACGAAGACCATAAACACTAGCTTCCAAGTGTTAATACTGTAACCTTCAGAGGAAACGGAAGAAGTAGGTGCCGACCATAAATAAGTTCATTCTGTGTTTCAGAACGAATTCCTAGCTGAGTTAAACATTTATTAAGCACTATAAATGTTAACGCGGTTGGTTGTATCTCAGTTATCACGATAGCGGCAAATGCGATGAATGGTTCGTTGTTATCCTTATCATTTGTTTAACACATTGACGATCGCATGGAACAGAGTCGCCTCGCCGCTATCCAGTGGTGGACAGAGATTTTTAACCATACTTCCTGTGTTCTATCTGTAGCTTGTCAAACATAGATTCAATATCGGGAGTGGCTCATGAAGAGCCGTTTTCTGTGCTTAATAATTTACAAAAAAAACTTTGGATATCAGTTCGCAGCAAGAGACTCTTGCTGTTGAAATGAGGGTATAGTATTGACCAGTGAAGAGGTCTGAAATTCCTCTGCTTGAACAATGGGTTTCGATTTTTAAGAAAAACGTTTCGCTGGGATGAGATGGTGATAAGACCATCGAGGTTTCGCCAAAGTGTCTTGGTGTTCATAGGGTATACCTTCATCAATCAGATGCAATACAGGTCATACATATAGTATTTCGAAACACACAAGTAACAGTTTACAGTGTACATATATACGTTATACATACACATATGCATAACCTACAACATATAACCTAACAATAATTACCAATAACGATGACAATAATAACAGTAAAAAAAGCCGCAGCTCTTGACGTTGATTAATCTCTGAGGGATGCGCGATGCACTGGAACTTCATTAATCATCGTTGGAGGTGGTTGAATGCATATGTGACCTTTACAATGACTCACGATGGCTTACCGATGCAACAAGTCGGTGCTATCCTCGCAGACGAGTCTGGTACCAATTTCCCGACCAGGAAAGGATGGAGGGCTTGGCGAACCCAAGGAGCGGGAGTCGATACCATGTGTATTGCAAGGCGCCTCCGACCACTGCGCTACACGCGCCCTGTTGTAAAGGAAACTTCTTGTAATTCTTGTCTACAACTAAGATCGACGAAGCACGTTCGAATATGATTTTTATGTACCAGGAAATAGCAACAATTTTGACTTAAAATTCATGATTTTTGGATACAGTATATAATTTTCCATAGAAAATAACACTGGTTACGTACAGATAATAAAAATGTTTCCTACAACGACTGCATTCAGCGCTAACTTTTCTACCACGTGCAGCAGGATATTCCCGCTAGTGCTGCAAGCCCTGTTACATGACACATCATCTCTTTCTGGAGCCCCTGGTGTCGCTTTCTTGAACGGAATCCGAAGTCGACAATGTCGAAGGAGTGTCCTCCATTATAACGCGTTAGACGCCTATTTTTAAGTCATTCAGCTTTCCGTCCTCATCACTATATGTCTCCCATGCGCTCGCCAGGTACGTTTGAGTGATCAAGTGGAGGAAAAGCTGTATGTACCTAAAGTATGGCTGAGAAAAGATGTGTGTAAACAATGAACACAGAGAAATATACATAAGACATGCTAGTCCTTTTAAGAAATGGACACTAGACCGCCATCTCAATACTTGTGTGTAGGAAAGGCTTCCCTGGTTGTAGCGCCTTGGAAGAGCTCCAGTTTTGATGAGTCGAAAGAAAAAGTCGCTTCTTAAACTGTGCCCAGCAAAATAACGTCCTTCCTGTCTTTCCACTTCACAACTGTTATACTGTTTGATTCTGTTGCGTTACCAAATGTCCACTATTCAGCTTCCAGTGGATGACTTGTTTGAGAAGCTCTTTTTTGTTTTTCCTACAGCCGCCAACAAGATGAGTCTCTCACCTCAGTATAGGCTCTATCAAACGAAGGCTTGTGTAGGAGGGTCCTGGGAAGGTGGAAAACGATCTACCTCTAAACGGCACACTGAATTTCTCAATAAATACTTATCTTCAAGGCCTGTATGTTGTGCCGCAGTTCCTGCTGATAACGTCGATTACTGGCCTAACGTCGTACAATCTGTCTAAGCACACCTTGCCTTGACGGCATGGGAGAGGTTTGCCAGCTAGCTTTCAAACTTCCTCGTTGTCATAACAAGGGCTACAATAAAATAGTTTAACAACGTCATGTTGAGACAGAGACGGATAAATCTTCTGATCTCGTCAACATTGCGAGAAGCTCCTAAAAATTAGCCATGAACTTATTCATGAAAATATCAAATAAGAAAATAAAATGAAAAGTTCCGTGCACCGATTCTCCATATCCCTAGTTCCATCATTGCCAATGTTGATGAGAATTTTATCGAGGCCCAAATTGAAAAAGTCGTCAGCTGGAATGGCTCAAGGCGATAATGCTGAAATCTTAATCATCAAAATTGGTCGGAAACAATGAACATGGAGGTATATTATGATTAGAAAAGTCGGCGGTTTCAGCATAGAGGTGGGTGGGAGAACGCGAAAGGAGAAAAGAAGGATAAACTGATGAAAAAAGTGTAGAATAGCGGCAACGTAATAAGAAAGAACTTTATACATGCCTCCGACTCTTCTAGAACATTTCTCAAGATAGTGAGAACAATGGCCTAGATTTCTATGATATGAATTGCAGAAAATACCGCCAAATCATTGAGGCTGCAAAGTTTTGCAACTACTGATCCATCTTTGTTTCCATTTCATACATAATTAAAGGCAGTTGGACCTCTCAAGAAGCATACCTAAGCTCTAATGAACCCCATAAATCGGAATCCAGATTTCTTCACCAGTAAAGTAAGTTTTGTTAAACCGCGATGAAATTCGAATTTTTTATGGTATTTCTTTCTTTTTCTTTTCTTTTTTTCTTCTTCCTTTCCTTTCCTTTTTCTACTTTCTTACTTCTAATTTTAAATAAAGTTAAGATGAAAATTACGCTTTATAAAAGTTAATGCGTTTAATTGAAGCGATAAAGCAAAGTGTTTTTTAAAAATCTGCTAAGTTATACTACCATAAGTTCTCTAACTGTGAAAAATTATGGGATGTTATTAGGAAAAACGCAACCATCCCTTATGTAGAAGATACAAAGCTCAATTTTTGGACGGTAATTAACTGTTCCACGGATCCTCCTCAAAGAGCGATCTCATATCGCTTGGCCACATAGGACTGTGGCCCGCCGAGATGAAGGACTAGTGGCTAATCGCGGACCAAAAGTTACCTTTCCTTCTATGACACGTTAGTGGTTCCAGAGGATGGAGTTCCTGTTTCTGCTGAGCCGATTTGACGCATACCTTCTGCATTTACGAGGACGTATTCATTCGTCCATGCATATGTGCGTTCTACCTTATGCGGATTGTATCCTACGAGTTAATACGGCCAAAAGTCTGCAAACAAGTGACAGGGAAATACGTAGGAGACGATTAGGAGTTGCCTCCAATCAAAAGCCTACCCCCGTCTTCTCTGGGGGATATCGGCAAGCCACCCTTGCTTATACCCAATTGCCACGTCCACAGCTTAGCAGGCAATACGTGAGTATCATGCGCTAAACAGTAAAATAAACGCTCCTCATTCCGCTGACCTCGAAAGAGCCACCGATTCGGCAGCGTTGGGAATATGAAAAGGCCGGCAAAATCTCAGAACCATTCTAGCAACAATAAACAATGACAATAACAATAGACAATAGCAATAACAATAACAATGAACAATAACAATAACAATTATAATAAATAATAACAATAACAATAAAACTCGTATATAATGCTGAGATATTTGCAAAACTCCGGACCGCAGGTGTATGCGGTGGGGAACGAACAAGCTATTGTCCTTTCCGGGGAGAAGCGCACTTCACCACCACACCATCCGGGTCCTTCGTTCTGCCTGTCTCACAGCTAGTTCTATTGATCTTTTGCCATCA